AAGACTAACAACCCCAAAGTTACTTGACTTGATCAAGTTTTGGTATATGAAGTTAAGTACCTGTTAGGGAAAACTAAGAGACCAAAAGTACATTTTCATTTTTAATGTATGGCCACTTTTCCAGTCCTGTATTATTGACTGTCTGTAGAACATTCCCTTGGTGTCAACAACCCAACCAATACTAAATGTATAGAGAAGATAGAGACTTTTGCTAGAGTTTATTAAAAACTACACAATTTTTTCCAATGTTAATTGGGAAAATTAACAGTATTTTTAAAGTTTCTTTCTTTCTTTTCTTTTCTTTTCTTTTTTTTTGGTTTTTTGAGACAGGGTTTCTCTGTGTAGCTTTGCGCCTTTCCTGGAACTCACTTTGTAGCCCAGGCTGGCCTCGAACTCATAGAGATCCGCCTGGCTCTGCCTCCCAAGTGCTGAGATTAAAGGCGTGCGCCACCATCACCCGGCTTTTTATGGTTTCTAAGCAAATCTTATTGCTTAATATTCTTTATCTTCTTAAATGTCAACACTGTCAAACCCTACCTCTTCTACTGTTTGTTCCACACCTAAAGTAATCAAATCAATTCAAATTACAAGAGCAAATGCTTAATTCAGTGCATTCCTAAATATCATTCCCCAGTTCTCACCTTCTCCTCTTGGCCTAGGACCCCACCTAGTGGACAGCAACTGGAATCAACCTTTCTATAGTCTCACTTCTTCCCTGCACAGAACAGCATATGGGCTTACTGGATTTGCTTATTGCTCAACTAACTCTATTTCAGAAATTTCTTTAACACATATATCCCTCAAACCACTTTCTGTTTATATTCCAGTTATAACTAAACATTATAAAAATTCTTTTTCTCTATTCATATTGTAGTAAGTGAGCCCCAAAGAGTCCCTAACTTCAGCCTAATAAAGACAGTGCATTCCTTAACTTAGTCTCCAAAAGGGAAAATAATATAGTAAATTCCAAAACAAAATAGTGAATTCTCAGCCTTAAATATAATGATCAATGGCCTCAAATTTTATCTTCAGAAGATCCAAGATTTGCATTGACCTTTTGATGTCCCTCTAATTAAGTTTATTCTCAGAATTTTTGCAAAAGAATTAATTTGCTTCTATTTTATAAAAGCAGCAGTAAGTAAATTGTACTGATTCCTGTTGCACTCATTATACAGTTACCACTACAGCAAGCAGCAAAGGGTGCAGCCTTCCAACAAGAGGTTGGAAGAATGAACCTTTGGGCTACAGTGGGAATCTTCATCTATACCATTTCTTTCTAACTGAAATTCAGAGTGGCTTCACCCATAGGAACAAACAACTGTGCTTTAGGACTGTCGCCTCACAACTAAGCTCTCTGAGATCTTAGCTGTATTCGTCCATCTTGAATTAAACTAGTCCAAAAAATGCAATATATATTTTTAAATTTACTTATAATAGTTTATTTTTTTAATAATATATTATTTCTTCCCTTCCCTTTCATCCTTCTAATCCCTCCTACACATCCTCCCTTGCTCTCAAAGTCGTGGCCTCTTTAATCATTTAATTTATGTATATACACATGTTCGTGCATGCATGTGTGCCCTAAATACATGAATACAACCTGCTCAGTTGTATACAACCATATAATGCTACCTGTATGTCTATGATCTCAGGGATAATTACTTGGTATTGAACAACCAATCAAGGAGGCTCTTCCAATTCCTAATTATGTGCTCAATATTTGTTCTTATGCCCACAGATAGATTTAGTTCTCACCTCTCATATCAAAGAAACTTACCTTTGTAACAGAAAGAGACCATTACAGAAAACTACAACCAATCAAAATGCAGAGAACAAGAGATCACGTAGTGCCCAATTTAAACTGATACATCTGTAAAACAATTCCTGTACTGAAAGCTCAGGGATCATATCAGAATAGAAGATAGAAAGGTTGTAAAATGCAGAGAAGCAGGAAGTTTGCTAAAACTGTGTTTCCTAGAAATGTCAGAGAGGGTATAGACCCATGAAGTTTCATCAAATAAGACCTGAACAATACCAATGGACATACTAACATGGAAGGGGTCTTAACAACCATGGGCAACCAGGAAATGCTAAGAGCAAGGAAAATATCTTCCCCAGGGGAGAGTCCTTCTAATATATTTTCAGTCCCTTTCAGAAACTTAAAAAAATTTTTTATTTAGCTTTATGTGCAGTGGTGTCAGATTCCCCTGGATATGGAGTTACAGACAGTTGTGAGCTACCATGTGGGTGCTGGGAACTGAACAAAGGTTCTCTGAAAGAGTAGCCAGTGGTCTTAACTGCTGAGCCATCTCTCTAGCCCCACCCCACCACCACCCCCGCCTCTTTTAGAGTTTCATCAAACTCTTTAGCTTCACACACACACTGCTCAAACAAAGGTGAAATTTAAGACAATCAGTTATACACAGTCATACAACTCTCTAATCTTCCCTTGTCTTGTCCTGTCTAGTCTAGTCTAGTCTAGTCTGTGAATGTCCCTTAAAGGTCTGTTAACTGTCAGTAGGGTTCTATGTGAGATGTAAAGAATTAACATGCATAGTCCTAGCTTTCAAGGGGACAACTGGGTGTTTGCATTGCTTTTTTGCCTTTTAGCTAAGACTAAGTCTTGGGAGTGTTTTTGCAGTTTTCCTTTGTATCTCAATTACTTGACACCTGATTACCTGCATTGGTTTTGTTACCTTATGACATAGTGATAAGTCTGTGATATTCTGATGGGGCTTCACAGTCTAGGACATTAGGCAAGGCCCCATTCTCTAGAGTGCCCATTCAACTTGCCTGTCTCTTTAGCCCTTCTCTGGACTTGTACTGCTCTGAATTTTAGTAATATATGATAATGTACTGCTCCCTACCTAGGCCTTTTCACTGCTGAGAATGGAGGCTAAGAGGCTGCACATTGATCAACTGAGCTCTTCAGGAGGAGGGCATCAGGACCTACAGTGAGTAAGTGACCAACTCTACCAGCTCTGAACAACTCGGCAGCTAATTCTACTGTGCTATACAGCTATTTTAATTTTCTAAGTGTATCAAGAAAAAAATGGGAAGTAAAGCAAATGTACAGTGTTTCCAGACTGTAAGTAACATTAAATATTATTTAGTACAATGACCTCACCTAGAAAGTTTAATTTCCTTAAGGTCACACTGCTAACAGAATTTAACAGCAGAAACAGAACTAGGCTCTAAAACCCAAGCTTCTGACTTCTAGGAATGGATACAATCACACTGCTTCTTAAACTGCCTGTCTTCCCAACAACACTGTAAGGTCTTTGACAACAAGGTAGTAAACTGACTTTACTGTTAACAATTTAGGGATGTTTAAGGGATACTTAAGGAATTGGTAAAGTCTTTGTTATAAGAAAAGTAATGAAAAAGGCAGCTCAGATTTGCATACTGCACCCCAAAATTTGTATAAACACTATAAATACTTGTGTGTATCTATACATGTACATATGTAGAATGTAAGGAAAAGCACAAACACTTTTGGAGGAAGGGTGAGCTGAGAAAATATCTTAGAATAGACAACAGGACTATGGCCACAGATAAGTCTATAAGGCTTCAAAGTGCTAACATTCAAACTACAAAAAAGTTTGAATATTACCCATAGATCAGATTCTTTTGTGTTTATGTATGGAGTCCAGAGGTCTATGCTGAGTATCTTCCTCATCCATTCCCCAATTTCTCTGTTTAAATATATGAGTATGGGTGCAGAGGCCAGAGGAGGATGCCACACGTCCTGATGCATTACTCTCTATCTTATTCCTTTGAGACATACTCTCTTACTAAGTAAATGTGGAGTGATGCTAGCACCCAGTAAGTCCTAGCAATCCTGTTTCCATTAGAGAACTCAAGTTATGGATGCACATATGCCCACACCCAGTTTTTTGAGACCTGTCTCAAAAAAAAAAAAAAAAAAAAAAGGTAAAGAAATTCTAGATTACGTAAGCTCTGAACCGTTCTAGTTGTGAAACCATGAGAACACTTAACTTCCTACATTTTTGCTGCCTCATCAACAACAATGAAAAACAATCTATCAAGGCCAAGTACAGGGCTGTCTAAGCACCGAAGAGAAAATTACATGTGTTTGAACGTACTTCCTGCCACATCAGAAACAAAGAATAAATGGCAGCTATCATTATGACTGTCATTAGACACTATAAGGTACATTATCTATTAATTTCAAGTGTTATTTTAAGCAAAGATAACTATATTGCAATGTAAGTGTTTTCATATTCTCTAATACATAAAATGACAAATAAGCTGATATTACAGCAAGGAAGGCCACAGTAGTATATAATCAGTAAAAATTTATGGTGAAATTGTATTTACAGATATAGAAAAATGCTCATAGCAGTTTTAGTTGAAAAAACTCAACAGTGGATGAGTTTTATTTAAAACATTAATAAAAATTGAATGAAAAATAACTTCAAAGTCGTACTCTGATACACAGTAAGTGTGAGGCCAGCTTGGATTACAAGAGAGATCTCCACCACCATGAGATAAGCTCAGTGGGTACAGGTGCTTACTGCCAAGCTTGGAGATCTGAGTTCAATTCCCGGGACTCACATGACAGAAGGCGAGAATATGGCATGCACACACACTCTGTAATGTGCCCCTCCACACACATACAAATAAATAAACATGAAAAACAAAAGTGAGGAACTTTCAATAACCAACATACCAGGATAGTTCTAACCAAATTCCATGATTACACAGGCAGGCCTAAAAGATATTTGGTCTCAAACCCTACACAGTCAATTCCTGATCCTCCTGCCTCCCCCTACCAAGCACTGGGATTATAGGTGTGTACTATTAGACCCATCTTGGAAAATTTTTACATATCTACTTTAAAAACCAGACTGATCATTTTTCATGAGAGAGAGAGAGAGAGAGAGAGAGAGAGAGAGAGAGAGAGAGAGAGAGAGAGAGAACATGCATATAATGCTTGTAAAAACAGCAAGTTAACAGAAATCTAACAACAGACTTACTCGTTCTGCAGCTGACTCCTCTCCGGGTACACACGCAGCAGCAGCAGCAGCAGCAGCACAAGCTATTTCCATCACAGAAGAGCTGGTAGGAGCATCAGTTGTAGATGAAGACCTGGGCCGACCTGACTGTATAACAGCAGCCACCTCCTGGCCAGATTTCCTGTTGATTTGGGGACTTCCCTTTGGGGCTTCTGACTTGCCCCGCCTACTATGCAAGCTTGTTCCTCTCTTCATCTTGGGTGGCACTCGGATTTGTTGCAGAACACGATTCAGAGCTGTGGGGTGGGTGGAGACACCATCAATCTCAGCACATGTGTTCTGGCTGTCCAGATCCACTTCAGGCTCTGGATCTGTCTGAATCTGCTGCACATCGTGTGGAGACACTGATGACCTCCTGCGCTGGTGCTGGAACAGATGTTTCAAGCCTTGGCCAATCACATTAATGTTCTCCAGAGCATTGTGGGTCATTTTAGATAACTTTTGTTCTGATTCTGTCTGCCTCCTGGCTTCTGCATCTTGGGATTTGCCTCCAGGATCAGGGTCCTCATATAACTGTTCACTGCCGGAAGGCTCCATCAGTAAGCTTAATAAGCTTATTTGCAAACTCAAAAAATTTTAAACACACCGAGACTGTCAAATTAGGTAGGCATTTGCTTCAACAGTGACTATGCATGCAGCTGTGAGATGGAGGCTTCATGCCTACCTAATGTTAAAAAAAAAAAAAAAAAAAAAAAAAAAAAAAAAAAAAAAAAGAAAACAACCTGTGTCATACAACCATGCAAAAATACAGAAACACTACAGTTAAAAGAAAAACATGCAGCTAGCCAAACAA